ACACACACCCACCACAATCTACCTATCTGTCTATCTATCTGTCTGTCTGTCTGTCCGCCTGGCTGCCTGGCTGGCTGCCTGGCTGCCTGGCTGCCTGGCTGCCTGGCTGCCTGGCTGCCTGGCTGCCTGCCTGCCTGCCTGCCTGGCTGGCTGCCTGGCTGGCTGGCTGTCTGTCTGTCTGTCTGTCTGCCTGTCTGCGTGTCTGTGTGGGTGCGCTGCCGACCTCTCGACGTCATCCCAAACATAATGTGCATACCGTTCGTTTCAGTTCTGCTTTGTCTCAGCCATTCCTCGCCGTCCCTGCTGTCACGAGTGCGGCCTGGAACAAGTCAGCTGTCCTGGTGACGTTGCGAGCGAGTTGCACAATGAAAAAAAAAGGATCTAGGTGGCTGCTAGGATGGCATTGACGGCTTCACGGTATCAACGGTCACAGCCCTGCATGGAGAGACAGCAATTCGAAGCGCCGGTCAATGGCTTTGGCGAGAACTGCTCCAGGTGTTGACGGTGCCGGGCTACCCGAAGCCCCGCGAGGGCTATGGAGAGGTCCTCGAATCAACAGTTTCAGACTGGCTCGAGCGCAATCGACAGCTTGGTTTTGCTGTGCGAGTGCTTTGCCGGAAAGTCTGCTCCTATTTTTGGACAGGCGCTGGGAAGACTGGAGGCTGACACGGCTGCGGCCTCAGAGTCAAGATCCCATTCCGGGCTACAGCGGCTTGGATTCTTTTCCCAGTAGCCCGCTTCGGGCCGTTGCCATCTCCTGGTTTCGAGGGCTTCACATCATTCGGAGAAGCTGCCCCCACATTCTGTTTCCAACAGCCAATCCAGCTATAGGCTCACTACAGCAGCGGCTCTTCGTTCTGATTGTTCCTGGCAGCATGTCCTGCGGGATGCAGCATTGAACGAGCAGATTTAAGAGTTGCTGCCGCCAGTCCGCCATGTCGCCGCCGAATCCGCTCCAGCAACTGAAGGATCTTTTCGATTGCTTCGACAAGGCACGTTGCGCGCATTTCTGTAGCCGTTCAAGCCATTCGTGCCCTGTGTTCGTTGCATTAATGTGCAGACGCCTGCAGAGATTTGGCATTGTGCTGTGTAACTGTGTAAGTGCGTGGTTTGGCCCGTGCCGTGAGCAAGTCAAGCTGCCCGGACGCAAGTCCTGAGCACGCACATCGACGCGGAAATGGAAGAATGCAGTTTTGCCTAGCGACACGAAGTATACGTTTGTCAGCACGCGCTGTCGCGACTCATCCATCGTGGCCTGTGTGCCTCCTCTGCCTTTGCCTGACAACTCTCTCACACATCCCAAGAGGTCCGCATCCAAATAATAGCTACTGTGTGAGTTTGAGTTGGTCGATGCTGACAGCAGGGGATCGAAAACCGAAACCCTGGAAGGACACATCCGGAGCTCTCTCTGTGCAGGGCCTCTCACACATCGCAGATTCCGACAGCAGAGAGCTGCACGAGCTCCTGGTGGCGGCTGACATCAATGCCGATGGCGTTATCACGAGGTACTTGGCGCGTGAATGGTCTCATCTAGTGTTTCGCTTCTAGTGCCTCAACAGCAGCTGTCTCGCGAACAGCTTGTGAGCAAAGACTTTCCTACAATCGCAACTGCATATGTAGTGCACACTTTTCTCTTGCAATGCCTACACCGCCGTTCTACTGAATTTTCCCCGTGGTTTCGTGCAAGAATGCCGCCCTTATTCTGCTCGCCAGGTGTGCCTGCTATGCCTCACGGGGTTGTTACAGAAAGCAAAAGGGAGGTAAGAGGGCCGAGAACTCAAACGACATAGTGTCGAATCTGAAGATGAAAATGAGCACAGCACAAGCATTAAGAGTGTGACACCACCTCACCCCACGCTTGCAAGACATTTTCCGAAGTCCGGCTTTGTTTTGCGAGAGGGGGCAGCTTCGAGAAAGTGCTGTTGGAAGGGTGGATGTCACTGTCATAGTTTCCACACAGTCTACAGCGCCCACTGCACTGTCTTGATAAGGACGGAATGGGACGAGCATGTCAGCTCCTGGCTGGAAGGCCACGAAGGCCAGGTCCAAGCCATCCTGGATGCAGCCAGTGGCATCACCGAGGAGGCCACGGAGTGCGAACTTATTTCGAAGGCCAAGCATTTTTTATCACCCATGGTGATGTCAAGCCAAGCCACAGGTGCTACAGACCAAGCGGAGCAAGGTCCGATCGAAGCGGCAGATTGCTGCGGTGTGGGATGCTGCCAGGCGCAGCCTTATCAACTTTAGCCACTCCGGGCTGATACAGGCCGCTTGTTCCAGCTCGATGCATGAATGCCTCTCGCAAGGTCGGACGGGGAAGATGAGATCAGCTGGTTCGGCTTGCCGGTCGTTGCATCACAGGACCTCTCATTCAAGGGGGAGAACCGTGCCGTTCCAATCGGACAGAAATTGGAGGCGCCGAGCTCCGGCCTAGTTGAAAAAAGGTTTAGAGCTCCTCCAAGCCTGAGCCAGTCGCAGCATCCCGCAAACATGGAAAGTGGCGGCAGCTGCTGGCAAGGTGATGGTTGGGGGAAGCTGCTTCTTGTGCGAGGTGGCTGCATATGATGAGGAGCTTCATAGTCGTTGCCAAACCATTGGCGAGCTTCTGGGGCGAATTCTTTTACAGGCATGTTGATAGGGAGCTCAGCATATCCGCGTCCAGCATAGTTGTAGTCTTGGAAACAACTGGAACTTGGCAGGATTTGCGGGAGCGCTTTCAAGATGCGACCCCGTAATGTAGCAAGACAAGCCTCGCGCCGTGCAGAGATGCAGGATCAGGACTATCCCTACCTGCTGCACTTTCCTGCTGGTGACGTGAAAGAGAAGCGCTGCGAATCAGCTGCAAGATTTCACCCTAGCACAGTTGTTCGTCCAGCGCAACGATGTTGCAGAACCCACACGTGTATGGATATTGTGCTGAGCCCGGAGGTATGATCGACGTTACCAGCAGCCGAATCATCGCTCCATTGTGGACACGACAGAAAGCGCCTTTCCATTTCATCGATGCAGAAGAAGAGGTACTTTGACCAGAACATGATGGGTCGTTTCTATGCCCGGCTTGTGCTCGGTCTCAGTGTTTTTGGTTCATGCCTAGAGCCTCTCAGAGCATGCCTGTGCCATCCTATGCCATGAAGGCCTGCAGCTGTTGCAGACTCGCACAGGTCTCGCCGCTGGAGATGTTGACGAGTCATGCCAATGGTGAGCCGATCAGTCCTTCGCAGTTGGTGAGCGGCATGGCTGAAAGTGTGATCAAGCTTGCTTGCGGTTCACCAGTCTTAAAGAAGGCCTGGTTCGCCGTGCACGGCAGCAGTTCCAGAACGAACCTGCGCTTCTGCGAATCTCCGTGCAAGGCCGAGGACCTGCCTGGCACTCGGGGTTGAGGGATCGGCCCGTTGAGTACCGCGAGGTGCTTCCACTGTCTCAATCTTCGGCGACATCCATGGCAACTTTGCAGGCAGCTTTGTATTCCTTTGTAGGCTGCAGAGCCTGTTCTGCACTATGCTCGCGAAGAACGAATGCTCGCTTCGTGGCCTCCATCGTGCTCAGGATCATCATTGAATCATCACCATGATCGTCAGCATCACTAAGCCATGAGACGAACTGCCAGCGCCGCCACAGCCCCCACCCTCACCAGCAGCGCTGGCTACTAGTATCGCCAGAGGAAGCAGCGGCAGGGGTTGAGGCTACCGGGGTTTCATTTGCATATACGAGTGTTAGCCTGCACATCCTGAATTCAGGACTTTGTCATATGGAATTTCGATGGCAATTCCAAAGCTCGGCCAGCTGTAGCCAGAAACCTGAGCTGAAACCTTTGCTTCCTTGACGGCTTCGGAGCGCGGACGTCGCATCTTGTGTCATGCTGACTTGCCTGCATCATGGCATCTTGTGCGGCGCGTTGTCCGAAAATAGTGTTGTGATGCGATGTGGTGGGCGAAGCTTTCTGTCCTGACAGGCTTTGCCAGCCTGGCAGCACAACTGCAAGGATTCTGGGACCTGCAAACTTTCGCAACAGCTTGTGGGTTGTAGTCGGAATCTGAGTTTCGGGTCTTTGCTAGTCGCTACAGACCCGGGACTGCCCAGTGCACGCGAACTCGCAATTCTCGATACATGACTGTCCACAGCATCTCCTCGAGGATCGGGAAAAGCCAAGCTGCTCGACACTGTGAAGGATACTATGCTGGAACCGCCTGCCGACATTGTCATCTTCCTGGGTGCACTCCCGCTGAATTATGTTGACTAGACTACACGCAAACTTTGATTTTTTGAATAGATTTTGACTTGTAGGCTAACTTGAACGCTTCCGTCAAGGATTTGGTGGATCGTGGGGATGAGAATCTCAAGCTCCTGCTGACGGTCCTGGCTTGGAAAGTGCAGCATCCTGACCGAATTTTTCTGCTGCGCGGCCCCTCGGCGTCGCCCGAGACTGCTGTTGGTGCAGTGGGACTCTTTAAATTGTTGTAAGTTTGGAGAAACAGTTTGGCACTGGCGAGGCAATCATGAGGATGAGAACATCAACTGCCGCTATGGCTTTGAGAAAGAATGTAGAGAAGCCTGTCCGCAATGCTTTCTTGAACTTTTGCCCAAGCCGCAGGAACAGCCCCTAACTGCCCGCAAATTCGAAAAGAAGCCTGCAAGGACCTCTTTGGCGAAGACGGCAGGAAAATCTATCGTCAAGTGAACAACATGTTCAACTACCTGCCTGCTGCTTGCCATTTCGGGGTGGAGCCGTCTGCTTTTTCCAGTTGGGTGCAGCAGCTGAAGTATCATCTTCGGATGCCGTCCCCCCCATCACTCCCGGCTTGGAAATGGCTAGGCTTTGTATGTGCAGAGTTGTTTGCACTTTGACAACCCAAGGTCGCCGCAGTCCTTGGTGACTTCGCCTTTTGCTGCCATGGCGGCCTTGGGCCAAGTATCCTATCTTTGGACGATGTCAGCCTATTGGATGCGCACAAGCCCATCTCGCTAGAGGTGGATTGGAGGGTTTAGACGCAGATGTCCTGGGGAGGGGATTGGATCACGCTATCTAACATGTGCCATCATGTGCGAGAGGGAAAAACATGTGCCATCATGTGCCACTGCAACGACAGCAGTTCTTAATACGACGGTAGCAACTATGCAACTATGCATAGGCAGAGTCATGCATTCATGGCACGGCTACAACCAGCGGTCTCGGAGACGAGGTGCCACCAAGCACCAACATGGACAAGACCGCAATTGACCTCTTGTGGGCGGACCCGTGCGAGGATTGAGCCCCACGCAAAGACGGGGAAAACATGCAGAGTCATGAAAGAGCTACTGCGCGATTCACATGACCCTCTGGCATCCCACGGATGGTGCCTTAGCTTCCGAGAGGATATGAAAGACCTGAGCGTGCCGCACTATTGCCGGCCCGTCTCTGAACTTGCCAGGAGGTTGATGCAGATGTCAATGCTGACGGTTTCGCAGAAAATTCTGCGCGAGGAATGGGACATGCTTCTCGGCGATCTGGGCATCGGCCAGCTTACTGAAGGATTAGCTTCCTTGGTGACCTTTTACGGGGGCATCAATAGTTGCCGTTAGCAGGCTTTGTTTTGTGAACTTGATCGGACTGCCGGATGATTCGAGATTAGGGCAGGTTTCCTTGCACACTGATCTGGCAGGTTTGGAACGCTGCAGCAAGCAGGAGATTCCTTGAAACCACGGGCCTGAAGATCATCATCCGTGGTCATGTGGCTCGCAAGACAATGAAATGAAGCCGACATCACCAGCATGTGCCGGTCCCTCGACTCTTGTTGTTGTGTTGAGGGCTGCTGCCGTCAAGAACACAAGGAGTGTGAGCCGGCCGGCTACTTGCAACTCAGCTGCAGCCGCCCGAAAGCTTTGTTTATCTGAGACGCTCTGTGAGTTCAGTTCAGTCCATGCGGGGGCTGTGTTTCTCCTGAGACGAAGGTACAACCATGACAGGCAGGTCTTGACCATCTTCTCAAGCCCCGCCTACAGCACCTAGGCTGTGAACGCCAAGAAAGCTTGAGTTTGCAGCTTTGTGGAATTGTCCTGCAGCGACCCAGTCATGATGGAAATTCGGCTGGAGCTTGGTCAAGTTAGAGTCCGGTAAGCCCAAAGGTGCGCTTCGCTGCATCTGCGTCACATAGCCCACCAAGCCCTCGTATTTGCCCCTTCCTTTCCTCGAATGCTGCACAAATCCAGAAATGTACCTCGCATGCGGCTTCCTCCGGGCCACGAGGCGAAAATAACGATGCGGCAGTTGCAACTTTAGATGCGTCTGGCCTCAGCAGCTTGAATTTTCTGAGGCGCCTGGCTCATGAGTTTGGCTTTTGCAACCATTGCATGCAGAGTATGTGCAGGTAGAGCCAGTGTTGTGTGCATTTTGGTGCTCTGCTGCCGGTATGAACCAGTTGTTGCGAGGGTGAATGCGGAGAACAAGCCAGTCTCGGCAGCAGCACAGCTGGAGGACAAAGCCACGATCGATCAGAACCTTCGCCAACCTCAACATTGCATACATTGGGTTTGCCAGCGAGATTGCAGCAGTTAGACATTTGCTGATGGCGGAGATTTACAGCTGTGCGCATAAAGGGTCTCGTGTAACGTTCGAGGGGTTCATCTTCCAACCATCGCGCAGGACCGTGACTCCCTGCAAAGAAAGGCGAAGCCACGGAGTGTTTGCCAAGGCGTGCTGAGCGTGGTTTTCTTCGTCTGCCAACTCTATGTTCTGTTAGTGTGTCCTTCTTGTTCCCGAAAGCATTGCAAGGGGTTTGAGATGAGGTTGGTTCTTTCTTAAGAAGCAATATGTTTTTTTATCCACGGCTCGCTGGAGTCCCTCCGCGACATGGCTCTGCGCTTGTGGTGCCATGACGTGTCGTGCTCGTTGTCGTGTTTGGAACGTGGGCTGCGTGTTGGGTGCCGTGACGGTTCGTGTTCGGGCATTGGCAGTCCACTCGGTGATGTCGGCGTGTCCACGTGAAGCCGCAGACGTTTCAGATTCCAGAACTTTGGCCTCATGTTGGCCTCGAAATGACAACATGCCGGCGCGTCCGCGTCCTCTTGGTAAGCTTGCTTGAATACATGGATTGGCCCCATGTTTGCCTCGAAAGGGCAACCCTCTCGGTGGACACGGCGTGTCCTGACCCTGCGCGTGTGGTGTCGCGTGCACTTTAGCGTCGAAACGTCTGATTCCCACCAGTAAGTGGGGGCGGGGGACAGCTTTCTGGTCATGTCTCTGAATTCCGGCAGTACATGGGGGAAGGATTGCAGCCGTGCTCCTGAATCCCGCTACAAGTAATACATGCGGGGAGCAGCATTTTGGTCGCGTAAATTCGTAAATCGCCCTGCGTGTGTGGTGCCGCAACGATTCCTGCTCGGGCATGTCTCTGAATCCAGCCAGTACATCGGGGAAGAGTTTGGGCTGCGCTCCTGGATCCTGCCGCCAGTACATGCCGGGGAGCATTTTGGTCGTGCATGGCACATGACATTTCGCTGCACCGTGAGGATTGGTGCTTGGAGTTGACAACCCGCTCGGTGGACCCGCATGTCCGCGGTCGTCGGGCATGCGCGACGGATGGATGCATGGATGGATCAATGGATGGATGGATGGAAGAGTGGATGGATGAGATGTTGCGAGGTGTCGCAGTGCTGACTGGCTACCTCGCTGCCCCGTGCTTTTCTAGTGGATGTGAGCACGCGAATTCGTGCTGCGGCTTGGTCCTGTCCACGATGGTTACATCAGCGGTTTTGCTCTACGACTCTACCGTGTCCTTGAGCTGTTGTCAATGTGATGTAGCGCTGCTTTTATGTTGGCATTGCATTGTTGCTAGAAGTTGAGCGGCTTGTCTTGTTTCGTTAGTTTTCTGTTTCCAGGTTTAAAGTCAAGATGATAGTTTCGATGTTGCTGAGTTGCTAGGAAAAATCGATACCTGCATTGAGGTCTAGCTATATGGATACCCGAAACCCCAGGCACTGTAAATATCAAGGTCCAAGGGAACAATCAGAGATGGGTTGTACGGGTGCTATACTTGCAATTCGTTGAATCGTACTGTATGCTACGCCTTCTGAGTCTCGTATGTTTACAGAAGACTGCGGGGCCTGCGTTTTTGCAAACCTTTATGTTCAGTGGTCTTGTATATTCCGAGTGGTTGTGTGTGTGTGTGTGGGTTTCTGTGTCGGTTAGGTGTCCGTTTGGTGCACATGCGTGCATTTTTTGTTTCCAACAACATCAACTCTGGGTTGCTACAAGCCACAGGGTCTGTTTACAAACACTGAGTTTCGGTATACCGCGCTTTCAGCGTTTTGAGGCTGTTGGATTTGTTCATTGTGATGTGCCTCGTTTTCTTATACTTTTGTTACATGAAGCTGGATGTTTAACCCTTGCCTGATGCATGCTGGTTGTTTGCTTGTTCGCATTCATTACAGCATGTGCGGAGGGGGGGGGAGCCGAGGGGGCAGAGGTTGATGTTGGGAGACCCCTCCCCCCCCTTTCCCCTCCCTCCCGCCACTCATATTTGTTGACATGCAATGGCAGAGCATTGGTCTAAACACTTATTTCGAGTCCTGCGCACTTTGCCACGTTAATTCAACACAGATGTTCTCAACCAGCCAAACATTGCATGCCAAAGCGGATGATGCGTTCAGTTATGGTGTTGGTTGGACTGGCCTGACAGGATAACAAGTTTTGCAGGGATAAGATATGCGGCCTACCCCAAGACTTGGTTTGATCAAGTACAGAATACACGGTATTTACGGTGTTTCCTGCCTGTGATAGTTGTTGTGGGAAGAATTTTGAACACGTAGCCGATCAACACCCCGGTGTCGTACCCGTTGACGTCTGACTATGCACGGGCTAAACCTGACCTTGGAGTACATTACTCAGGAATAGAAGTGGACGTACTTTGTGGTGTAATGGTGTAATGCTGCGTGTACCTTAGAAGCGTTTGAGGTAGTTTTAACGTCAATATGATGCAAAATATGGGTCTGCACAAACCCAGGCCCCAAAGCAACCAGCAACCTGCTCTCCATGTTTAAGAGATCGTATGTTTGTGTTTTGTCGTGCGACCGCTTTCCCAGTTGTCTTTCCCTGTCTATCTGTGTACCTCATTCTGAGTCTCGATGTGTCGCACCTGCAGTCTCATGCGGGGAAGCCAACACTTACCGAGGTTGTGTCTCCTGCTGAGAGTGCTGGCGAAAGGCTGGTCCAAAGTGGCTAGCTGTTTGTTGAGAGCTCGCGCAGCAGTCGGCACTTCAGAAAGGTGCTTCGATGAAGCACCAGGCGCACCCCACTCAAAAAGGCGAAGAGGGCTCCGTACCTTTTTCATAGGCCCTAAGCCGTACTTCCGATCCCACTGAGACCAGAAATCGCGCGAGGCTCTCGCAGGGCAAAGGGCTGGGGTTCTAGAGGTTCGGGAAAGGGGTTCGGGACTTGGGGACAACCCGGAGTCGAGACCTTGGCACCGGCGCCTCTCAGCAATCGAGAGAACCTGCGCAAGCTCGAGCCGAAACAGAGATTTCAACGGAAGCAACATCGACTTGCCAACCCCACAGCCCAAATACCAAAACCCGGGCGCTTGTCGCCTGCATCCTTGCCTGCCTTGTGCGAGCGTGAGCGTCGAAACTTATTTTGCATTGGAATTCCGAGTTGAGAGTCCACGCACGGATATCGCATCCTGTTGATGAGTGGCCGAAGAGTATCCTTAAGTGCACCCAGGCTCCCGGCCTCTTTGGCAAGGTTCGCTCGGCCTTCCGCCGTTTTCTTGGCGGACCCAAGACGGCGCAGGCGGCAGCAAGGTATTTCCCACCACCAACGTGCAGATGATGCGAGTGATATACTAATGCTCAGAACAAGAACAGTTAGCAATAATTACGTAGAAAGCCAGAGATGTTAAACACGATCTTGGGGTAAAGTTATACAAACAACACGACACTTCCAGAGCGACATCACAATACGACAGCATGAGTGCACAATAGCGACAACGACGACAACAACAACAACACCAACAACAACACCAACAACACCAACAACATCAACCACAACCACAACCGCAACCACAACGACAACGACATCGATACCGACACTGCCGCCGCCACCTCCGCCGCCACCAATGCCGCCAACACCCCCGCCGCCGCCACCCCCACCACCCCCACCACCACCACCGCCACCACCGCCGCCGCCGCCGCCGCCACCACCACCACCACCACCACCACCAGGCAATGCTTCGGAGCAAAGCTGGGCGTCGCAGACTATGATTGCCACCACCCATGGCATTGCAGCCCTCTGTAGAACGAACATGTTGTCAGCATGTCTGCTCTGGATATAGGTCATCGCATCACATCTATCCCGCAAGAGCGGCGAAGCCTGTTGAAGCTAAGGCTGGCACCCGTCATTCGTAACTGACATTAACTGACACTGACATTCGCGAGAAAAGCTTTGTATCTAGCCCAGCACGTCCCGTGCACAGAATCGAACCGCCTGCAGCCTCAAATCTCTGGACCGAAAGACTTCTCAGGCTGCTACCTACGGCGTGCTGCAGCAGCTCCTTCCCGGAGAAGAGCAGGCCATGTTGGAAGTCGTGTTGGCTGGAATGGATAGTATTGCAGATCATCCTCGGTTTCATGGGGAGGCTGACATGTTAGCAAAGTGTATCCAGAATAGGGCACAACAAACCGATGTGGAAAATTTTTGATAGTTTCACTGTGCCGCATGGGCTGCTGGCGAGGACAGTGCGGGCTTGGCCATGGGTCAGACGTACGAGCAGTATGACAAGAAGGACGTTGGGTGTTCCATGGGCCTGATGGTGCACGGGTCCCTGACTTGGGACGTGGGCGTTCAAGGGGTGATGACTGACAGGTGATAGGTTTCGACAATGTTGGAATTGTGTGTTGTGGCTTCAGTCGCCGAACACGCGAGGAGCAAGGCCGGCTTGGCCCTCGTGGCGAGGAGAAAGTGCCGCAGTTTGCCACAGAGTCGTAGTTGTGGGAGTTTGTGGGATGGCGAAGCACTAGGTGGCCCCCTCAGCAAAGACTTGCGTAGACCTTGCTCTTCTGGTTTCCCTGCTCCCACTCTCCAATTTTCGTCGCGGAATTTTCAAGAGCTCCCTGCGATACTTTACTGACAGACATCGGTCGCTCCGATGGACCATATGGACTGTTGTGTCCTGGACGCCGGACACCTGGAAAATACTCACGAAAATCATTGTCGCTGATGGATGTTTGCCTGCATCATTTCGAGATGCTTTTGTCATCTTCTGTCAACTTGGACTAGAAATGCAGGCTGTTCCGCAGTGAATGTGCAAGGCTCCGAGGTGCGGAGGTTGATGTTACGGCAGCCTGCCTGGAGATGCACATGCGGTCATTGGCTGACCATTGTCCGGGTGAGGGTGCTTCAGTGGTATAGTGCATGTTTCAGAGTGCAGTCGTACAGTATTTTCCTCGCAAGCTTACGTTTCACAACCGATGGCGCTGGCGTGACTTCACAGTTCGAGGCAGAACGGGTTGACCGAGACGCATTCTGAAGCCCAAACCGTTCTCCGAACAGCACCGGTTCAAAGATCTCTGGAACACAGACAGAAGACCAGTTGGCACCAGGCTCACCAGGATGCGCCCGGGACAGCTGGAGCAGGGACCTTGGTTTCAGCCCAGGTGAAGTGCAGGTGCTTGTAGCTGTTTGATTGGGAATGCTTATGCCTTCCATGAGTTGATCTGTTGCGTGTGCACCTCAGCTCGATTGGCTTCGAGCAGCGTCCCGGGAGTCCTTGCCCAAGCTTCTTTTGGTCCCGAATCGGGAACCGAGAGAAGCCTGGAAGCCAGGGAACAACTGAGAGGGACCTCGGGACATGAGTGAAGCCGCTGCGCCCAGCGGCTTCCGCTGGCTTTGGTTGCATGCAGCGACTCGGCAAACATTCCTGCAGTGACGGAGGCTTTTCACGGTGTTTCGCGACTTTGTCTTCGTATGTACAGTCTCAACTGGAGCGACAAGACTAAGCCGAAGATTGCCACGAGCTAACCCATTGTCAGCACGAGGGTCAAGGGGCTGCCTTCCATCCTCGCTTTCAGGACCGCCCAGCTCTTCAATCTTCTTTGTTTTTACAACCCCGAAAATTCAGCCAGGAAGGGCATGTTGAACCATGTTGGCAGTTTCGAACTCGTCTTCACATGCCAAAGCTCCAGCATGTTGGGCAGGCTTGCCACATCTGTGCTTGTTGCTCCTGCTTGGGTTTCAGTGTCATCGTCTTGCGACGATTCCGCTCCTGCAACGCGCGAAGAAACGCTGGCAGACCCCAGAGAAAAAGGTGCACACGAGCGAGAGCAGCAGAAGCTCCTCCTCTTCCGCCCCGGCGCCTTGGACGCTTCCCGCGTCGGAAGAGGCATGGAGATCGTCGGCCCTTGATTGTCGTGAGCTGTTCGCAGGGTGATTCCAGCAACCGCTTGTCTTCAGGCGGCATTTAAGCTGCGAGGTCGGCATGCTGCTTAGCTGCACCTCAGAAACCTATGGCACACTCAGCGCAGTCGTATCACTCGGCGAGCAACGCCCCTTAACTGTTGCTGTGATCGAGTTTCGCAGTCCATCTCAGAGACCTGCCGTGCTTGCTGTGGCTTGCGATCCGGGAGCCACATTGGCATAGCGGCAAAGCAGATAGCATCTTATAACTTATAACGTGGTGTTGCATTGTATGATGTGATAGGTCTTGCGGCTCCTAACGAAATTTGAACCTGCTCGGGGCGGGGGTGTTCTTTTTGAGGATGACATAGTAAGACTATGTCAACGACGAAGTGCAGCTTTTGTCACCTTGGTCTGATGCACCCGGATGCACCGAACGGTCAACATGAGAGGAATGCTTGGCCAATCTTCTGCAGCGGGCAGCATCAGGTAGCCCACTCTCCACGGCGACTTGGAACTGCAATCCTGATCTGCGGAGTGCCTCTCAAACACGCGTAGCAGAACGTTTGACGGCATGGGCTTCATTGGCAATGTCTCGCCCAGCAAAGGCACGGCCGGCTGACGGCACGCCGGCAGAGGCATCGCATGCTGCCTCGTGTTGTGCAGAGCCGGCCTTAGGTCGCAGCTGTCGCAAGGGTCCGGCAGCGCTTTCAATTTCTGCGAGCTTGATACGGTTGAATGTCGCGTTGCAATGTTAGCTTTGAGTGATTGACACGCAGTGCCAGCAAAAGCAGCTGGCAATCAGCCAGGCCAGATGCTTCCAAGCGACCATGAAGTGCCGGTACATGATACATCAGCATTTAGAGCCGCAGAAGTGGCACGACTCTTTCCAAGCCATGCCGCAAGTGTGGCCTATTCTCGGTACCATGACATTCGGAGTCGAAGGTCAAGTGAAGCCAGATGCTGTGACCACCATGCTACGAAGCTTCGTAGGCGCAAGCTCTACGAAATCACCAGCGGGCGCCATGATCGACACTGCTCGTATGTACCAGCAGGGTACACCGGATGGTGATACTGAGACCACTCTAGGCCAAACATTTCAGGCATTCCCCTCGCTTCTGTCGCGGTGCACAATCGCCACGAAGGCTTCCAAAGCGGTGCCGCCTCATTACTCACTATCTAAGACCTCGGTTGTAGAACAGTGCAATGCGTGCCTGCAGAAACTCGGAGTGGACTGTCTTGACCTGTTTTATTTACATTCACCAGATATTACAACAGATGTCGACGACACGCTTGACGGAATAGCTCAGTTGCATTCCGAAGGCAAGATCAAAGAGTTCGGTTTGTCAAACTACCCAGCTTGGGCTGTCGTGGATATATGGTACAGATGCAGGGCTCGCGGCATTGTCCTTCCCACAGTGTACCAGGGCCCGTACAGTGTCATCGCAAGGGACATGGAGCGTGAGATTGTGCCGGTGGCGCGCCAATTTGGACTCAGGCTTTACATGTACAATCCGCTGGCTGGGGGCCTGCTGACGGGGAGGTATAGGACTCTGGAAGACATTGCCAGCGCTAGCTCTGGCCGCTTCTCCTCTGACTTCGACAACGCATTCGGTGTAGGTGTTAAGGCTGGAACCGATGTGTACCACAAGCGCTACGGCAACAAAGCGATGGTCGAGGGTGTCGGCATCCTTTTGGAAGCCTGTGGGCTGAAGGAGTGTGAGCCTGTCGAGCCAAAGGTGATCGAAGACAAGACCAGCATGATCGATGGCAGGCGAGTTCGTGTAGTCGTCTCCGAG